TCCCGGCACACACACAACAACACACACACAAATTGAAACTCACCCCTCTGTGACTCTGTGGCACATGGCCTTCATGGCCTTGCTTTCATCTTGCCACGCTCATGGCCGCCATGGCCTTCATCGCTTCATAGCCTTCATGGCCTTCGACTTGCCGTGAGCCTTCATCGACTTCATCACCTTCATAGCCTTCATGGCCTTCGCCTTGCCGTGAGCCTTCATCGACTTCATCACCTTCATCGCCTTCATGGCTTTCTTGTCGCTGGCGGCCTTCATCGACTTCATAGCCTTCATGGCCTTCGACTTGCCACGCTTCATCGACTTCATCACCTTCATCGCCTTCATGGCCTTCTTGTCGCCGGCGGCCTTCATCGACCTCATAGCCTTCATGGCCTTCGACTTACCACGCTTCATCGACTTCATCGCCTTCACGGCCTTCATCGACTTCATTGCCTTCATGGCCTTCATCGCCTTCATCGGCGTCTGGGTGGCCGTCTCTTTCTTCGTCTTCACGATGTCGGCGAAACGAGGATATTCGTAATTCTTCGAGGAGAACGTCAAGTAGTGGCCCGTGCACCGAAATCCATCCTTCTGTTCCTCGCACACCAACCTCAAGTACTCGTCCCGACACTTTGCTTCGCCGTCGATGCTAGCCGTGCATTGGACTTCACCGTCACGCACTATATCAATCTCCAGCACGGCGCTCATAATGAAGGAATTCCTCGTTGAAGATCAATAATTGCAATGCACGAGCTGATGACTCGCAGCTTACCCGGAATTCCTCGTCCTCGTTGAAGATCAATAATTGCAATCAGAGGACCATGCACCGCGGACCGCCAGCAATCTGAATACTAGGACGGTATCTGATCGTCTTCGGTTTCCTATCTTTCGTTCTTGACTCTTGACCCATGAAAGCAATCCTATCGATGGATTGTCGATGGATCAGGGCCCGGGGATTTATGGTTTAAGTTTCGGGGTTGAGGGCTTCGATGTTGCAATGTGCAATGAACACACCCCGAAGCCAAGCCTTGAGCAGCATATTCCAGAGCAAATGTTTTCAAATGTGCCAGTGCAATGCTGTTCCGGATTTCATGAAAGGTGCTAAAAAGTCGGTCCTTCCAGAAGCCAGCCACGATGTCGATCTGCTCCTTAAAAGCCGCGGCAGCCTGCGACAAAGCGTCGCAATTTTCAGAGTGGCCCTAAGCCCTAAACCGTGAAACTCGACTCCTAATTAAAGGGTGTATATTTTTGGGTATATTCAAGATCAAAGCTACATGAGCCATGTGCTTATGCCATATGCTATATGGGCAAATCGACCGTTAAGGACATAGATATGGCCTGTTCTCTAAAGTAGGGTGCCTTTCAGGCTCCTTTTCATAGGGTGTCCTTCTATTATCAGGGACCTAAACAGGGACACTAATTTCGGGGCCGTAATGGTTACAATAGGTCCTTGAATAGGGTTCTTAACCCAAACCAGAAACCCGCCTTCACCACGGCACGACCAGCCACCAGCCATCAGCGCCGGCCAATGCTTTGCGGTTGGTTTTTTTTTTTTTTGAGGGCCCTTTTCCTTCCTGCTGATTCCTGCTACAGTCGGAATACATGGTAGGTGGAGCGGTGGAGCCAGTTGGAAGGACACTCGGCAGGCGGCAGGTTCGGTTGGGATGCGTTCGATTGTAGGTGATCGAGGGGATGCGTTCGATTGTAGGTGATCGAGGAAAGCTATGCCGACTCGTGTCCTTCCGGGCTTGCATCGCACAGCTACAAACAGGACTTTGAAAAGAGAGCCACATGAGCTTGCAATCGCGGCGCTTCCCCATCCAGTGATTTGTTTATGAGTCATGAGTTCATGGTGCGGTGCGTAGGTCTTCGGTGATCTTGAAAACCACTAATCGTGAGTTTGATTCAGAATTGAAATCTGATACAAGGCTCGTAATTCAATGATCTAGATTACACAAACCCCAAGCCATTGGCCCAAACCCCAAGACTCCCAAGACTACTTTCCAAAAGCTAAACCCAAAGTTCGCACAAACCAGCACACCGAGCTGGGGCCCCCAGCGGGCCGGGAGATCGAAGGCGAAGAAGAGTGGAAGCATCATCAGGTCATCAAGCAAGTCACTGCAAATCATCTCACGCACGGTTAGAAGCCAACACAAATCCCAAATTATATCTGCCGAAATGTTGAAATGACTGTTTTTCTCTCCATTAACTCCCCATGTGGTTATTTTGCCCACCGAACACGAATCCTATCAGTCAGGAATGCACTGGATGGACCATACCATGGACTGCACCTCCGGAGCAACCGAAAAATATAGCAATCCAACAGCATTTGCAAAAGGCATGATCCACCGAAACAACGCGCAACTTTCCAGAACGACCTAGTCTCAACAAAAACGATTTCGGAAAGTTCCCCCGGATGTCAGGTGCTATTCCCGAGCACCACCCTTATTTAAGGAATTTGCCAATACTGGGGTATATTAGTATACTGCAAATATTGGTGGTATATTATACCGTTCGTACCATGAAGACCAAGCTGCACCGAGCGTTCCTGCTAGAATCTGCAAAATACACGAACAAAGTCTGTCTGCCTCACAGCCATTCTCCACGTTCCCATCGGTGTCGAAGCGGTTCACGTCACCTGCGGAATCATACGTTGCTACAGTAGAAGCCAGAAGGTTGGAATTCATTATCGTAACCCCTTTAAGGTAAATTAGAGGGGATCCTACTATAAATCCATATTCCAACTTTCTGGAGTTCCCTTTTTAGGGTTTTACAGGGGTTACAGAAGGGTCGTGTAAGGGATCTTCGGGCCACGCTCCGGTCTGGCCCCTAAACCCCTAAACCCCGAAACCCCAAACTCTGCATCCCAAGAGACAGGAGACAGTCGTACACTTCTCCGGAGTGCTGCAGCTGGTGCAGTTTCCTTAGATCACAGCAAGCGGAAGATCGGCTGCAAGCTGCTTAATATGTGAGTTTCCGAAAACAAGGGACCCCAATATAGCACCCTAAATAGTAGGATCCTTATTATAAGGACCCCAAAATAGGGTACCCCTAATTTTCGGAAACTCCCATATAGACATATTATATACAGATACAATGTATAGTAAGGGTATCGTAAGGGTACGATGCCCAAGATGCCCATCAAAGTTCAGGCAACCACTAGCCTGCCAAGGCTCCGTGAGGAACTGGTGCGCAAGTGACTTCGCAGCCCGTCCTTCGGTCTGAGCATGGCTAAAAACGAGTGCGATGGCCATGATACTACTTAGCCTTCCACTAGGACAGTGACAACTACTATGCACGCAGAGGCCATCACTTGCGTAAGCTACCAGCTTGTCTTAAACCCTCAAACCCGCAGATCACTTGTGCAGCCTTTGCTTTCCTCATGCTTCAGATCGGGCCAAGGGGCTGCAGTTCCCTTAAAGGGAACTCCAGAAAGTTGGAATATGGTTTCAGGGTAGGATACCTTATAATTTACCATAAAGGGTTTAGGATAATCATATTCCAACTTTCTGGCTTTTACCTTATGATTGTGTCATTCTCTTTAGCTTTGCCTTTTGACAGAAGGGAACTTCAGTCAAACCAGTTATGCTGGGAGCTAGGCATCTCTGCGCAATGTTTCGGGTTGTCACGGTATATAGACAGCCAAGGAAGGAAGCCAATTACTGCAGAACCTCGAAGCACAAAATCCCAAAGCTCTGATCCCTAAACCCTAAACCATGAAGCCTACCTGGACTCAAAAGCAGACGATGCAAAAGTCAACTCCACAGCCAAAGCGCTCGATCTTGCCGTCCATGTCGAACCAATTGCCGTCACAGAGGATGTCGAAGCATTCTAGAGGTTTCCCACCTGGATTTAGGCTAAAGGTTCTGCCTAACGGCTTTAGGCTTGTCTGTTTAGGGTGATTTCCAGGGCATTGGGGTTTAGGAGTTTAGGGTTTAGGGTTCAAAGGCTTAGGGTTTGCGGTTTAGCTTAGGGTTTAACTTTAACTTTGACTTTAACTACTACTACTACTACTACTACTACTACTACTACTACTACTACTACTACTACTACGCCTACTCCGACTGCTACTCCTACTGCTACTGCTACTGCCACTGCTAGCTGCTACTGCTACTGCTACTGCTACTACTACTGCTATTATTATTATTACTACTACTACTACTACTACTACTACTACTACTACTGCTACTGCTACTGCTACTGCTACTGCTACTACAATGTGCCCAAGGCCCTCGATGACCTGCACAAGGAACTCGATCGGGCTATGCACCGACAGCAGGCCACAGCCGATTGGATGTTTGATGATCAGTGGCAAGCGCACCTGCAACACAGGCTTCTGCAGTGCTCTCCTGAGACTGAGAGGGAGGACAAGATAGAGACTTTTCAATGGGCCTGTCCGTTCTGTGAAGAGATGTTGCCGACACAAGCAGCGTTGAAAATCCATGCCCGGAGAACTCACCAGCATACCGACAAGATCCACATTGTCTTTAACAAGGCTATGCACTCAATTGGTGGACTGCCAACGTGTCGCTTCTGTCACAAGAAATTTAGTAGATGGCAAACACTCTCCCAGCACATCACGGACAATCGATGCCCGAAATATCTCTACGACCAAGCACAACTGGAGCAGTCCTATGATCATCTACCACCGAATCAGATGACTTCTGCAACTCCCGACCGGGTCTTTCCTCCAGAATGTGGGGGTCCAGACCAATCATTAGAACAGACAAATGTTGCGGAAGAGACGCTCACACAGCCAATTTGTCAGCTTCCGGAAACAGCTCTTGCAGTTCACAAGGGTCTCAATGCCTTTATACGACTGCCAGAAATCACCGGACGCCTTCTTCAGACATGTGCTCTGTGTGGACAGTGGGTGGCATCGCATAAGACCATGAAGCGACACTACCAGTATAGTCATGCAGACATTCTTCGTGATCTAGGAGGGCGAGTCAAATCTTTGATTCAACGCACAGCCACAGCCTGCCCTACCTGTCATTTCTGCCATGTTCGCTGCAAGGACTGGCGCGAACACATTCTGAAATGTACGGTGATCTTTCAGTGTGCCATCCTATGTCTCACACATCAGGACCGACAACAATGGCTGGGAGCTGGAGGAGTTCTTCGGCGAGTTGAAGCAAGAGGGGCTCTCGCAAAAGCGGAGGAGGCCACACGAGAACAGGCAGTCTTGGAACAGGCCACACCGCGACCACTTCGAGCAGGTGCCAAGGGAGCCCTCCTTACTGCTTTCTTTAGCAAGACAAGTGATCCGACAGGAGGAAGAGATCAAAATTCTTCGTCAGGATCATGCTCTGGTCTTCTTCTTGAAACCAGGCGAGCACAACATGCTGTGCCACCTTTATCGCACAGCCCAGCAATTCCAGAAGAAACAGAGCGAAAACCCGGGATGGGCACCGGGACAACAGCCTCTGAAGGCAGTCATGGCGGTTGCTCTCTTCAACGAGCTGGGCCTAAGGTTGGACCGAGCCTGCAAGGAAGAGGACTTCACGCAAAAGGTCAAGGAGCTGGGTTGGAGGGATCCAGCAGTCGGCTGGAAGTTCCAGTACTGGGACCCGACGGTAAAACATTTGGTCGAAGACAAGTCCCGAAAGCCGCTGACGGACCAAGATGTGGCCACGCATTTGAAGAAACTCACCCAGCTACTGCTGCTCCCAGACCTGGTGCACCGTTTCGGCTGCAAGCGCCGGCTTGCCGAAACGATGGAGGGAACCACCACCTTTCTGATGGACCTCTCCACCCGAACCCCCCAGAGTTTGGATGCTTGGGGCTCGCTACTGGCTCTTCAGGGGTGCACAGTTCTTCAATTGGGCGGCCTTGCCTACAGGAAGGAATCCTTCAAGCCCAGTCCGGGCATCGCCAAGATCAAAGAGATGATTCGAAGTCAATGATCTCTACTCCCAGGCTGATTCTCACCAACCGTGGCAATGCCTGCTACATGAACTCGACCGTACAGGCTCTCTATTGGCTTCTACTACTTCAGCCAGAACGGCTGGCTACAATGGGGGCAGGCCGTACGTTCTTCCAAGCATTGCAGACTCATCATTGTCACAATCCCAAGAATCTTCTGAAGGACAGGCACTGGCGTGCTTTGATCGAGGGGTGGCGAGACCATCACAGGCAACATGACGTCGTTGAGTTTTTCGCTTTTCTATGCCAGACACACGATATTTGCTTGTTTCAGGGGAAGTGGGAGTCTCGACGACTTTATCAGGGGCAACTCCAAGTGCGAGACTGGGGGCTATGTACTCAGCCTGTCACATTGTCATTGCCACGTACCCCTCCAGGATTAGACGTGACCATTCAGGTACAGTCGCTCTTGGATTATTGGTCTGGGGCGCAAAGGGCGGTTCACGCCTTTTCGGCTCCACCCCCAGTACTGGCCTTGCAAGTGGAAAGATTTAGTACAATCAACGAGCGCATCATCAAGCGAAGGGACCCCATCGATGTGGATCGCGACCTGGTGATCCCCATTTTTGCAGGCGAGCAGATGTAAGTCCGAACTCTGAAATACCAGTTGACGGCTGTCATCACTCATCATGGCATGCATCCACAGACGGGCCATTACACTACGCAATTGTTTGCAGGATCTCAAATGTGGAACTGTGACGACAACTGCCCAGCGAGATCTGAGTCCACTCTGTCACCGGAGCAAGCCAGTGATTGTTATCTCCTGCTGTACGCTAGGTGCGACTATCTCTATAATTGTGACGTGATTCCTTTGTCATGCTAATCGGGCCTTGCGAGGCGGTGACATCGGGCATAGTGTGTTTCTGAGGCAGCAATGCTGCGTGCCTAGAAGGCGCCGGGCGTTAATCGTCTGCTCTCCAACTCCGCCGCTGGGCGGTCGACTCGACCGCTGCGCACAAAGGCTACAAAGGCTGCTACTGCTACTGCTACTGCTACTGCTACTGCTACTGCTACTAAGCCCCTTGGCTCAGACTAGAGAGAATGTGTGACTTTGGAAACGCTGAGCCTCTGCCACCTAACTGTACCAGACCTGCTAGAAGGATTCCGGGCCAGCAACAGAACAAGGCTGTAGGCTGCATGATGGCCTATACCCTCTGCCTAGTCGGGCTCATAGTAGCCATCGTCGGTCCTACCCTTGACCGCGTTTACTGGCCGAGCGTCCCTACCCTCAGCTGGCTCGGTCCTGAGAGTGCCAGTGACACTTCTTTGTGTGCATCAGTCACTCATGCATGTGCACCTGCTGCAGCTCAGTGGCCTACTCACAGCACTTTGCCGATTCGCAGCCTTCAGCAGGATCGAGGTAGAAACGTCCGCTGTTCGGGATGTCGCCTAAGGAGGCCAAGGCGAAGGCACGCCGGGGAAGTGCCGCGAAGGTGGCTGCAAGATCCAGAAGCGCTCGGGCAGGCCATGTCCGAAGTCGTCGAGCAGTTCACCAACGTCCCCACCTTCGCCGGATTCTGACTCGGGAGAGACCACGAGGGCAATCACGATAGCAAAGCATACCTCAGTGCCTGCTGGTCCACCGCCTCCGATTCCGGTCAACCACCCGAGCCGACGTGAGTCCGGACCAAGGCCTGCCGGCCCACCACCGCCGGTTCCTGCCTTCTCCCTGCCGGGAGCTCCTGCGGCTTTGCTGTCTCCTCCTGCACCAGTACATGCATTGGCAGCAGTGGTTCCAGCTTCTCCACCCTCTACTGGCCCACCAGGCCCCGTGCCGACGAAGGCTGCTGCTCCAGCACCTACAGCCCCTGCTGGCCTACCACGCCTTGTGCCGACGACAGCCACCATGCCGACTGCAGTGTCTACGCCATCACGACCTGTGCTACCCTCTGCGGCGGCCCCGGCCAAGGCAAACCCTACGGTCACGGCCAAAGCCAAGGCATCGGGACAGATCCCAGGATGGTCGATTACTATCAACATTCGACCTCTCCTGTAGCTCGATACTGCGATGCATGTTGGAGAAGCCTTTCTGCAGAGTGGGTGCTGACAAGAGCGCGCAAGGCAGTCGCCAACCCTCTGCCGTCTCTTCCTGTAAGCTGACCTGTCAACTCGTGCCAAGCAGCCCTTTGGGATGGATCAACAAAAGTTGTGCCGAGCATGTTGTTACATCAGACCTGATGCATTCATGGCAGATACCCTTGCTTTCGTGGTGGACCATCACACGTGATCCCTGTACCGCTCAGGCTGTACCCATGGAGGACCATGATGGCATCGAGAAGGCTCCAGGTCAGCGACTTCCCTCACCTGATATCGGAGCCTCCCTGCCTAGAGTTGCTCGCCACAGGTGTCAGGTCTCCCGAGACGACCACTCCGGTGTTCTTCTTGCCCACCATCGGGTTTGGGCCTCAGCCTCGTTGCTGCATCTCGCGACCAGCCAACATGCAACTCTGCCGCGTCCTTGTGTGCACCTTGAAGCCCCACCATGTGGTAACCGTGAGTGCCTGCAGCTCTTTCCATTCCGAGCATCACTGAAGATCCTGCCAGCATTGCATTCCTTAGGGCTGTGAGACCTCTTGCTGATTGCTCGCAAGTAAATTCTCCACCTCAGCTTCTTAACTCGCTAGGCCACCCTGTGCTAAAGTGCCCTACCTGTGCCTTTCGAGGGATCATGGAGTCAGCCTCTGAGCACAGCTGGCCAAACTGGCAGGCAGCACTTGTTCCGCTTACAGTCGGGACAGAAGTGGAGGTGACTGATGGCCACAGACAGCACCTTATAGGCTGTCGGGCGATTGTGCTCCCACCTTGGAGTGTGATCACAACACCACCCGGAACGTGCGGCTGATACAAGGACCTCGAGCTGAACAGCGTCGTATCTACACGATCGACAGGGAACACCTTGTTCCCCGATTGGGGTCGGAGGCTACACAAGCTTCCATGTGTGATGGAATGGAGCCGAGTCTGAGGTGGAGATGTGCACCCCCACCATTAACCATCTTCAGCGCACGTTACCTTCTTGGCTACCAGGCCTTGGCGACAATGGTGCCCCCTGCGGCACCCAAACGGAGTCCAGCTGGCCACTATGTCCATCCCCCGCTGGCAGATGCTTCGCTTGAGGCACCCTGGGAAAAACACGCCGACCCAGCTAGCAATCGGCCATTCTACTACCACCCGGGGACTAAGCAGGTGACTTGGCCAAAACCACGGCCGACTCTGGTCGGTACTTCCACCTGGTGCCTGATGCTGAGCAAGTGTAGTCTTAGTGGATGGAGCTGGCACTGCCCTCCAGAACCCAACAGAGGTTCCGATACCCCGAATACCGGGCTATCGTCAGCTCGCTAGGCGAATCCGGATACTTCGCTGCGTGGTGAATGAAATGCTACTGCTACTGCTACTCCTACTACTCCTACTACTCCTACTACTCCTACTACTCCTACTACTCCTACTCCTACTCCTACTCCTACTCCTACTCCTACTCCTACTACTACTACTACTACTACTACTACTACTACTACTACTACTACTACTACTACGACTACTACGACTACCTACGACTAAGACTACGACGAACACTACCACTACCACTGCCACTACCACTACCCCTACCACTACCACTTTCCGCTACCACTGACTACCACCCCGCCCGGGGTGTGCATCTGGGACAGGAGGTTCTGGCTCGGGCTCTCTGCGGCTTTGGCGACATCTTTGCTTCTGCGCCTATGCTCCATTTTAAGGTATGCAGTGAAGTCATACTACTTGAGCCCCAAGGTTGCCTCATGATGCCTCCCCAACCACAACCCCAGCTAAAGTTTAAAGCCCACCGGTTGAAGAAGCCAGATTACGGCCCTGGTTCATCACTTCAGTTTGGGATTCCATCGAGTGAGAGCTGCTTTCGGCAACTCGCTCGAAGGGACGAACACCCGAGCCAGCACGACACGGGCTTGCCGTGAAAATCCGTATTTTGCGCTATGCAGACTGCATGCTCAGATGATGAGTTCCTGCTTTGATGATTTGCTGAGGCCAAAGTTGTAAATCTAGGAGAACCCTGAACCCTACACCCTACATTCAGGGGCTCATGGGAACTGGGCTTGAGGTTGGATATGGCCATGTAATATGTCCTAAAACCTTACAGCAAACTCCAAAAAGTTGGAAACCGAATTAAGGACACATAGTGCTGGGATTCCCTATACTTTACTCTTAGGGATTGAGGCAATCGGGTTCCCAACTTTTTGGCTTCTAGTGTAGCCCCTGGACCTTACGAGGATTGTTGGGCATGAGGGGTTAACCCTAAACCCTAAACCCTAAACCCAAAACCCTAAACCCTAAACCGTGGTTGTTACACACCTCGTGGGATCGGGGGCTCGGGGGGGATGGTCCGGGCCGGTCATGGGGTTTATGAGAGTTCAGAGGGCGAGGCCCTAACATAGGAGCTTAAATGATTAGGATAAGGATTTCCGGTCATACTATACTACCACGAGAATCGGGACGTAAGGGGGGGGGGGGCAGTGCTACCAATCGCGAAGTCGTCCGACCCGGATTTCAACCCCAAACCCTCCGGCCGGGCTGCTACAGGCAAGGCAAGTACCCCGCTTGACGCTCGGACACTGCCTGAGGTCGAAGAGTCTAGCATAGGGGCCTTGAAAACTTGAACAAAGTTTCGGGGCCCCTTATGCTAGACTTATATTTAAGCCCCTTGATTAACTATAAGGGATACTGTAAGGGTCATGAGAATGGTTTCGAATGGCGCTTTCATATTAGACGGGTTCTTTTAAGGCCTGGATAATTAGACTAGTCTTGGGGACAGTCTTAATTTTTGAGGGACTACAAGGGTGGTTCCTCAAAAGGGTTTTCCAACAGGGATCTATATGTGTTCTATAACTACGTCTAGGTCGAATGCACCGTGCTACCGGCTCAAATGGCCTGAAGAACAGCAGGAGCAGGAGTAGCAGGCAAGCGTTGGCAGTAACATAGGGGCCTTAATAATTAGAACAGGGTTTTGGGGCCCATAATACTATAACTATAATTATAGTAATTAACCCCCCAAAAGTAGTATTGGCAATGATTGGGGGTTCCTTATTATAGCTATACTATAATGGGCCCCAGAACCCTCTTCTACTTGGTTAGGTCCCTCATTGTTGCCTTCAGATGACCAGCTGTAACTGTAATTATAGTAAGGAGCCCTCAAGTCAAAATCGTATTGGTAATTATTTAGGCCCCTATAGTATGCGCTGTGAACTTGTCAGGACTCTTTGATGCCGCTTTTTGAGGTCCGCACACTTCGCAGCCGTTCTCTTCGACCGCGTCGGCATCGTACCAGTCCTGCAGCAAAACAGACTATGGTGTATTATACCAGATTCTACGATCTTATACCATATTATAGTACATTATACCATATTATAGAGTGAGGGAGACCCCGAGGTGTTAGGATCCGGTGAGACCCTTGTAGGGTTCAGGGTTCAGGGTTTAGAGCTTAGGCCCCCCAAAATGCTCACACTCATCTGGCAGCACTAAAGCATACTAAAGCCTGCTCAGGGCCCTCCCTAAACCCTAAACCCTAAACCCGAGGGGCGACAGGCCTTGTCGCAACTCAGCGCCTTCGCACACTTGAAAGGATTGTGGCACTCGGGACAGGAGGCATGCGGCCGGGAAGGACATGTCGCTTCCTCAGACGGCCGGATCTTCAAGTTACATCTGCGCCAAAGAGGGGCCCCCAAACCTCCGTGGAACCCTTACGACAAAGGTAACTCTGTGACCTAAAGTTCTCTTGTCGAACCCCTAGCAGGAAACCCTGGGTACAGAGACGCACAGAAATCCTCCGACAACTTTTGCCGAGTTGCGCAGCCGTTCGAGTAGTTTTGATCCACCTCGAACCGATTCGCATGGCATTTGTAGTCCTGGCCGGTATCAGCAAATTCATGATTATAAGCCTGTAGGGGCCCTAAACCTATAGTAAACTCTCCGCTTCCCGAAACGTTCCCTAATCCTCAAACCCGATAAGCCCATCAAAAGCCTCTTGAGTCTTGAGCACGGATGCCCCTAAACCCTAAACACTCAAGCCTAACTGTCCCCTAAACCCCAAACCCTGAGCCCTAAACCCGCAACCCTAAGCCCTAAATCCAAGAAAACACCTTACTTGTCTAGGTGGGGCTTTTGAAGCCTTTGAAAAAATATTAATAAATAAGATCCTCTTAACACCAAAAAAGGGAAAATATATAAAAAGCCCCGAAGCCCTAAACCCTAAACCCTAAAACCCTAAACCCTAAACCCCTAAACCCTAAACCCTAAACACCTTACTTGTGCCGCCTTGCAGACCCAGGGCCCCTGGCAAAGAACGCAGTCGGCGAAGGGCACCTGCGGTTTAGGGCTTATAGGGTTTAGGGTTTAGGGTTTAGGGTTTAGGGAGTTTATAAAGACGTAGGATGTAGGCTTATAGGGCTCTGAGATTAGGATTTACTAGGGTTTAGGGTTTTTGGTTAAGGCTTTGGTTTAGGGATAGGAGTTAGAGGCTTTGCGGTCTAGGGGTTTGAGGAGTGTAGGAGTCAGGGACAGGGAGTGAGGGGTTCAGGGCCCAGAGTTTAGAGGGTTTAGGGTTTAGGGTTTAGGATTTAGGGTTTAGGGTTTAGGGTTTAGAACTTTAGGATCTACAGGGCATCATACATACCGCTTAGGTAGGACCTATAAGATGTGTTGTCTTAGATATGGGTAGTTGTCAAAACTATGGTCCCTTTTTGGATACCTTAAATATTAGGCGCCGTATTATATAAAGGACCCAACAAGGGATCCTAATACTGACAACCACCCATATGTACGGCGCCTTCAAGGGGATAGTAGTACGAAGAAAGCAGAGGGACTCTAAGGGGATACCCTAAACCCTCAACCGGATAGGCTAGGTATTGCAAATTACAACGAATGCAACGGAACAATATGATGGTGACAAAACGGGAATCTTACAACTGATCCTTCTGACCTCTACCGTACCTGTAGCCCTGATATTATTGTGGCAGGCCTGTCGGATGCCAAAATTCCTGGAAAGTGTTTCAAAAGCTCTACAGTCTTACAATACCTGATACATCGAAGCTACGAATCCTAGACCCAAAGCCCTAAACCCGAAACCCCAAGCCCGAAGCGCCCTAACCTAAACTTATGGCTTTGGTCTTGACGACCCTCTTCGGACAGTCTCACGGCGCCTCGCCTCCGGACAGGGTGCCTCGCAGCCATTTCGTACGTTGAAGTCGCCGTCGAAGAAGCCGGGCTTGCAATCGAAAAGTGTGCAAATACCTAGCATCATGATTTTTCGGAGGGTTCGATCTGCTTGAGCTTAGGTTTTGGGGTTTTGGTTCCGGCAGTTCAAAGACACTAGATCGAAACCCCCCTATACGCCCATAGAAGTACCAGTAAGCAACCCGAAGGAATGATGTTTACTTGACTATCTGCGCATTCTGCAGTCCCAATGAGAGAGTGATGTTACTACTTTAGGGCCCCCAAAAAGCACATAATCAGGTAGGGATATCCCCATAAAATGCTTATGCTTATGTGCTTTTGGGGTCCCTAATGTTTGTTCCGACCCCTATTGCAAGTAATTAAGCACAGAGGCTATCTTGACACCGCTTGCACACGGCATTGTGCACGCTGGGACAGAGGACCTCGCAGCCGTTGCTGATGTTTCCTGGGCGTGTCATGATTTTTTCGCTCTTCCAACCCACTGAGTTATCTTTTAAGCCCCTTGAAATTTATTTACTATTACGGCTCTCGAAAAAATAGTAGGTGAAATCCAAAAAAAATCCCAAAGGACAGCCCAGACGATCTCCCTTCTGATCTGAACAAGCCTTTTTTTCGACCACCGCCCTTCGTCTTGAGATTTTCTACCCACGCTCTCGCGTCCGGTCGTTCAGCTGCTGCCAAGCCGCCATCCTCGTCGTAGTAGTTGTCCTTGCAGCTCATCTGCGTGCAGTTTGTCGGAGTTGGGCACTCGACACCTGAGAGATCACAGCTGTTCAGCTGTGATGCACCGATGGACACAAAGTCCTGGGGTGCTGGCACTTCGCCCCAAAGACAGCCGGACAGCCTGCCTGGCGAGCATAGTAAGCTTGAAAGGCAGCACATGTGCGCATGGAGCCTCACCCGAAGACATGGCATCTGAAGCCGTGGTGTCGACCTAATCCAATCTTCTGCTTCTCCCACTGCTTAGTGCCAGCTTCCTTTCATTCACGTCGCTGAACCTTAAACCCGAAACCCAAGAGCCTGAAGCCTGAAGCAAGAAAATGCTGGAGGCTTTGCGGATTCGCGGGCCCTGAAGGCCTCGCAGCCGTTGGACACGTTGTCATCCAAATCAAAAGTGTTGGGCTCGCCTCAGCTCAAGCCAGCGGCCGGTTTGGTTCAGGGTTTTGGGGTTTCTGTTTAGTTTTTTTTTTTCAAGGGCTCCTTTTCGAACTACAGACTGCTTATCTAAAGCCCGTTTCCCTTTAGTTCAGGGCTTAGGGGCCTTAAAGTTCGACAAATTCGCTTCGGTACCGTGTTTTAGGTTGGTTTAATCGGTTCGGTACGGCGGAATCCTGTTAAGGGCCCTGAGCCCGCTTAATGTAGCGGGCCTTCATACCCACAGGCCCCGTTGGAGTTCCTTTTTGGGGATTACCTTACAGGATTCTCTAGATGGACCACAAAAATTAAAAGGGGCCTATGGGTAATTACAATAGGGTTTGGGGGCCCATTATACCATATGTATAATACAGAAACCGCAAAAATAGTATAGGTAAATACTTAAGCCCCTGTAGTAGTTGAGTCAAGATGCAGACGAGACTTGTCTTGCCCTCACCACCGACCAGGGGTCCTTGATGCGCAAGCAAAAATGAGCGGCAACAAGAAGCTGAGATGCTCAAGCAACGAAACGAGCATCAGAATCCGCAATCCGACATCTCCTCAACCCTGCACTCTGAACCCCCAAACCCTCAACTCGAAACCCTAAGCCCGACCTGAAAACCCGAAACCTCAAACACGAAACCTAAAACCCGAAACCCCAAACACGAATCCCCAGACCAGAAAGAGCCCGCAACGATCCTGGGAGGATTCCAGCATCCTGGCTGAAAGGGCACTTCTCGCAGCAGAGTTGACACCTGCGGGTCGCTTAGCTCCAGGCTGCGACAGGTTTCAGGGTTCTTTTTGATTTGTTGAGGGCCCTTTTCCTTCTTGCTACAGGTTTCAGGGTTCGCATTTTTGATTTTAACCACAGCGTTTTTTGGGCTTAGTGACACATTTTTTGCCCTTCTAGGACTGACTGGGGCTTCGAGGCTGACTTTTCAGAGCTGAATCTGGTCAGGCCTGTCCCGGAGCAGCGAGTCCCCGTCGCTGGCAATACACTTCCTTGGCTCACCGGTTTAGGCTTTAGGGTTAAATGATATAAATCCGCCGTTACCTTCGCACCCGAATCTATGGATAATTTTGGTACATTCCCGATAAAATGGGTAATGCTGGGTTTATATTTCATCAACAGTAGGAGTATCTAGGGTTCCGCAAAGGGACCTAGCTTTTGACAGCTACCCATCTGAACCGTTCAGGTTCTCAGACTAACCTAGACCGAGATTTCAATACCCCTTACTTAAAGAATATACCACAAATCATAATAGGATCACTAACATCATTTAAGGTATATCTCAAGGATATGGGAGTCTCTGGGATTACCTCAAAGCATCCATCGAAGCTGAAGGAGGCCGAGAGTCTGACAGAAGCCAAGCATGGACTTGTGGTAGTCGGCCACTGCATAGCCTTCCGCACAGTCCTCGCTGTTATGCCTGGGTGTGCGGGGTTCACAGCGGTTGAACACGGTTTCACAAAGTTGCTTGTGAGCTGAGATAGGGCTTTGTAGATATGGAAGTTTGCGAAAATGGGGGACCCTAAAAAGTACCCTTAATAGTAGGATCCCTGATTATAAGGACCGCCCAAATAAGGTACTCCTACTTTTCGGAAACTCCCATATTGCGAAATCAACCAAATGTAAGCCAAGAGTCTGCCCGCAGCTAACCAGCATCGGCTTGACGCTGCAGATGGCTCCCTCTGTGCCGGTGCCGCCGGTGACCTAACAGAAGTACGCGAACTTGCTTTGAGCTTAGGGTCCCAGGTGTGGGTTCAGGGTTTAAGTCCTTTCAGTCCTTCAGGTTCAGCACTTAGCAAAAAATCATGATGTCTCTGTAAAACTACGCAGAGCGGGTTTAAGCGGAAATCTGTTGCCAAGGTACGGATGCCGCCGTGTGAAGGGAGCCTGGGATGTGGTCGAGGCAGCACCGTAGGCTTCCGGTCAAAAAAGCACCATGCAATGAAGTGATGCAGGGCCTTCAAAAGAAGAATAGAGTCTTATATAGGTTATGTTAGAATATGGATACGGTACGGAAACCAATGACAAACATCAGTGTTCGCTCTAAGACAGAAAGCGAATCCGCCCAATTCTGGCTGAGTGGCAAACACCAGTGCCAGGACCAGTCAATGCCAGTTGAAACGCAGTACATCGAACCTGGTTTCCTCAGGCCACCAGGAAACGATTCTGGGTTTGGAAGAGCCTTCCATGCAAGCAAAGCCTTCAGTATGAAGCTGGCAGAGCTCCACATGTCTCTTAACCATCTGCCGCACGAGGCTGTGTTGTAGGCTGGGTCTTGATTACCACACTCAGTCTCAACGTGTCCTGTGCATGTTCCATGCACAAAGTTGACACGGAACGGCATCAGTTTCAAGTTCAGCTGAGGATCGGCACGCTTCGTGGCAGTCTTTTGAGGACATGTTGCCCACATTGGCCACGCCTGTCGCCAAGGAGTCCCCAAAGTTGCAAGCTTCCCCAAAATCTACCAGTAGGGTTTAGGATTAGGATTCAGGAGTCATGTTCTTCGGGATTTAGGGTCCACTGTTTAGGCTAGGAGTGGCAAGCAAACACTCTCCAAGACGGCCTGTGTTGATTTCTCCTTTGCCGGCGGAGATGCAGGCTCCCTTGGACGTCTTCCACGCAAATGGATCCTTGAAGGGGTTGTGGTCTAAGGATTTAGGGGTTTAGGGCTTAGGATGTTAGGATTCAGGGCTGAGGGTTTAGGGGTTTAGAGCTTAGGGATTTTAGGTCTGATGCACGCTAGCCTTTTGGGGTGTAGTGTTTAGGGTGCTTGAGGCTTGACGGAGAAGATTTGGGGACAACTTCAATGGCTTGGTTTCTGCTTGACGCCTGGCTCCGAGGCTTCTATGATGATAAAACATCATGTAGTCTCTCAAATTATACAATACATACATAAAAAACCTGTGTGTATCAACCGACCTATTTATCTATCTGTCTATCCATCGATCTATGTACCTGTAGACACCTGTCGCAGATTTTGTCTTGCCTTGCGCTCCAAAGACAAACATAACATGACACTCCACACCTCCAAACCATATGCCCTTCATCGGTCAATCTGCTAGGCGTTACCATCAAGACCTTGAACGCCAAAACCTTCACGGATCGAGACAAGCAAGAAGCTGTTGTGACCGTCGTGGTCGATGCCTTCATGGTCTCAAAAGCCTCGACAGGGGATGGGAGTCGAGGAACTGTCGACAGACACAATCCAGCTAGTCATGGCATACGGGTTTAGGGTATAGGGCTTAAGAACAGGACATGTACGGCTAAGACATGAATACTATAATATACTCACACGGCGGCAGATTCCAGAAGCATACGAGCACACTAAATGCACAGGTGCTAAAGTACACCGGTAAGGCGTCATAGCCGTAGAGCAGCACAAGACACAACACTAAATATTCATATCACCAAACCAAGGCCGGTGGCACAGGCAATAGCGTTCCAATGTATGCGATGCCGTAATCTAGTGAATCTAGTGCTACAACACATAAAAGGAACCACAGTCACAACCGAAACAGCACAGTGACACAGCCACCTGGTCATCAACAAAGCAGTAGAGCAGCACAGCCACAACGACTACAAGGTCATGTATCAATAAAGCAACACGGTGTCATGGTCATACAGCGACAGGCCATATAACCTCATACCAACATAAGCTGCCACATGACAATGTATGACACTGTAAAGCTAAGCCATACGCGCCTTTAAGCCCTAAAGCCCTCAACCCAGACCCAACAGAGGGTATAGACACAATATGGTATTACAGTATGACATTATAGCCTAGTACCTTCTATTCTGTTATGTGATATTGTACTGCATATGTCATAAAGAGAGCACCGGGTATGATGTTGCACAACATATACTAAGTTTCTTCGTGAGTTATACCTTTAACAGTGTAATACAGTACCCTAAGGGTCCAAGTGCCCAAATAGTAGGGTTTCAAGGTCCCAAAACCGCTCCGAGAATGGATTTTGGGATCTAAAACCCTACGATTTGGGCACTTGGACCCTCTGGGCCCTAAACCCTAAACCCCATTCAGAAGGCCTCCGAGCCGACCAGATCTGCCCGGACACCTACGGTCCAAACATGCATTGATGTGGGAGAGTCCGACAATTAGGGATACCTTATTTTGGAGTCCTTGCAATAAGGATCCTACTATTCAGGGTTCTATGTTTAGGGTCTCCTATTTTGGGAAACTCCCATGTCTTTTTGCGCGATAGTGACTAGGTTTTAGGGATTAAGGTTCGGGTTTGGGGGTTTAGGTTTAATGCATGTGATTTAAGATTTTCGTTGAAAACTTGTTGCTTGCAGATCCAAGAGAGCCCTTTTAGGCAGGTCAGTTTGCAGAACACCGGGAAAAAAGGCTTGGAGTTGAGGGTCTAAGGGGGCCGAAGCACTAGAACGGGGTTCCTTGAAACGTTCCAGATTGGGCTCCTTTCAAAAGCTAGGATACCCAGTAACCTAAGAATAAAAAGGCCTCTCTTTTTGGTATTGGGTAACTTTATAAGGAACCTAGGACTACAAAAAGGGAATAAGGGTACTACTGGGCATCCTAGAAAGTTGCTATGAGACACAGTGCTTCCGGGGGTTTCTTAAGAGATAAGGAACCGTAAGAAATACGATAGCTAAAGACTGTAGTGTACAGTGTATAGCCTCTCTACTTCCTAATGCCCTTTCGTCCAGAGGCAAGGGGCTCTTCTAAGACAATCTCCCCCTAAACCCTAAACCCTAAACCATCAACCCTACCCTAAAACCCTAAACCCTAAACCCTAAACCCTCAACCCGGGCTTTCAAGCGAGAGGCAAGAGATCCACTCGTTGGGGCGGAAACTGAACGTCCGAAGGTTCTCCAGGCCGAGGGAAAAGGTATTGCAAGCCGTCTCCTCTCAATGTAGGGTTTAGGGTTTAGGGCTTTAGGGTTTGGGGTTTAGGGTTTAGGGTTTGAGGGTTTAGGGTTTTACGGTTTAGGGTTTAGGGTTTTAGGGTAGGGTTTAGGGTTGAGGAGAACGGCGACTCCACAGGTACACAAGAGCGATGCCTATGAAAGCCACCCAACATGTCTGCATGGAACTGCCAAGTTCGACAATCACTGCAATAACCAGGCCCACAAAGAAACACTAACACAAAAAACTACGGAATCGCACAAAACACTTCAGACGCTTGAACCCCTGCACAGCCCTAAACACCCACCGTCTTAGGTAATTTCAAAGCCCCCTCCGAGTGCGAGAACTCGAAGGAAGAACACTTCACCTGCTCTTTGCACTTCTCGGCGCAGCCTGCACCGAGAGGGTTCCATAGGGCTTTACTTAGGGTTCAGGGTTCAGGGTTTAGGGTTTAGGGTTTAGGGTTTAGGGGTTTAGGGTTCAGGGTTTAGGGGCAGTTATAGCAAGTTAGGATGGGGTTTCGGCATTATGTGGCTAGATCAGGGGCTCGGCTGATTCGGGTTTAGGGTTTAGGGTTGTGACAGTCAACTTCCTTGAATAAGCGTCTTTACGCTTCCGATACGATTTTGATATGATTACAAGGATCCTTCAGGTTACTTGATATGGTTTACGACTTGGGTAAGGTTTGGATACGATTCTGATACGATTTCGTTACGTTTTTGATACGGTTTTGACGATTCTGATACAATTTCGATACGTCTCCAGCCTCCCCCAGGACTGATTTTGATGTGTTTGCGAGGTTTCTGATAGGTTTTCGGACTTGCAGCCGAGCTGCTTTCCGAGCGCTTTCCCACGTAGCCGTATTGAAATCATAACCAGAACCGTATCAAATCGCATACCGGAAAAACCCTCAAACCTATGAAAAGCATGATAAGCACGACAATAATTGCCGGCGCATACTCTTAGTTTGCCAGGTAAAGTTTAGGGTTCAGGGTAGACAAAAAGAGAACCCATTGGGTCAGAGAGTAACCAATGACTTCGTTCGCTGTTCACTGAAACGAAAGAAAACTTGAATGCTACACCTGGTTTGGGTTTAGGGGTTCAGGACTTCCGGGCTGAGGGCATTCAAAAAATCTGCAGATTAAGGGGTGAGCAGTCACGTCACGGTTAGTCGTGACTGATCCCGAGGATGGCAAATGAAGCCACAACAGACCAGAACCTTCTGGCACGGCGGCTCCGCAACACACTGTTGCAAACACAGTTGCATCATCGCCGCACACGGCAACAAACCCGAAAATAATTCCTCAACCCGAAACCCAAAAGCCCGAACCCTAGACCCTAAACAAACCCTGAACCCGAAGACCTAAAACCGAAACCCTCAAGCTTAAGACCCTAAGACGTCGAAGGCGGAGCTTTCAGCCCGTCCTTCAAGCGACGTCGTCTCAAAGTGCATTGCGTCCGGACCATCCAAGTCATGAGGAATCAACGAGAATCCTTGCTGTCAGTTGAGGGTGCTTGTTTAAGTGCAATGGCTCTTTCACTCCTTTCGAGTGTTTAGGATTTAGGTTTGAGGGTTGCCATGGCATAGGTCGGCATTTCGTCCTAAACCCGCAACCTTAGACATTGGGCACTAAACCCTAGTCCCTAAAACCGACACCCTTAACCCCTTAAGTTCTCACTCGCAGTGACATGCACTGTAAGTTGGGTTCTCTGCGGGGTCGGTCTATGAGGTATCTACCAGAGCGCAAGCAGGGTATACTATAGTCACTTTAGTATACTGATTGTGTCTCGCAAATGATCTCTGCAGGCACAGCTGCACGTCAGGACTTCGAAGCCAAGCTGCCGGAAGGGCACATGATGCCAACCTTGATGATATCCTTGGCACTCAAGAGTTTCCATCACGTTACGGTTGGCACTTCGGCTGGAGAGGTTGGCACTGCAAGTGCTACTGCTGAGCAACAGCAGCAGGACTCGTCACATCGCGAAAGCACGAGACAGCTTATGCACTCGCCCCACAAACTGGTGTAGGCGTATAATGTCAATTGTTACTCCTATTACGAAGCAGTATCCTTTATTACTGCTGCACTGTTGTTATTACTACTACTACTACTACTACTACTACTACTACTACTACTACTACTACTACTACTACTACTACTACTACTACTATGATTAGTATGTTATCATCCTAAAGCAAAGCGGCTCCCCGATGCCACTGGTCTGGCTTTGCACCAAACTCGCGACGGCCATGAACTCCGAGCATGTTCTTCCAGACCTCACAGATGAGCTAGGGTTTAGGGTTTAGGGGCCGGTATCCGATGCCCTTTCAGGCTTCCGGGTCTAGGATTTAAGGGCAAATCCACTTCCAGCAGATTGTTGTGTAATATCCACTGAATGCAGCATGAGGCACTCTGACAATGCCAGACCAGACTGGGAAGAGGTTCCGGAACTGGCCTCGCAAGCACGGAAGAGACTCAAACCCTTACCTTTGGTTAGTAGGGAATGGAAGAATGGTAGTAATAGTAGTTATAATTATACCCCATTCCTCCATTCCCTACTAACCAGCGGTAAGAAACCCGAGCATGCAAACCAAGTGGGAGTTTCCGAGGCTTTGTGTTTGAGGTACCCGAAGGCCGAATTGAACCCTAACAGTGCTCAAGGCTCACATGCCAACAGAAGTGGTGTCCTCGTCCTAAACTCTAAGCCCTTCAGTGTCCCTTTTTGTAAGGATACCGACTGCGTCGGATTCCACGTCCGAATATAGTATATACCTTTAAGGGCTTGTTTACAGGCTCCTTTAACGGGAACCCTACTACTCTGGATACCCCGAAACCCCTCAAAACCCTGAGCCGCTGAATCGCTTGCTCTGCCAGCCTGTGATCTTCAATCAACAGCTCCTTCAACGCACCCCTTAAAGGACCTACTTGTCGGGTATCATGGGGATCTAAAGGTTAACCTCTTTGGCTATATAGGGACTATATAGGGTTCATACTACCCAAATAATACTCTACTACTTAAAGGAGCCCCCTGAAAGGAACCCCCAAAAGGGGTTCCTTTTTCGGGGCATCAACCGCCCCCCAGGTCGAAGGCCATCTGCGTGCACCAGCCAACTGCAACTTAAGGGTTTAGAGGCTTTTGTGTAAAGCGCAATAGGCCCTCTTTAACTTTATTGGTTTAGGGCGTAGTTTGGAAGCCTCCGATATGACTACGTAAAAACACACCGCCGACATGTAAACCACTCTCACAAATCATGATCTCAAAGCTTGGGGAGTTGAACTGTGTAACTCACCAATGACACCAATGTGCAATTTGTGTTGACCATGGAAAACTGCTATCCCGGCCATACGCGCATCCCTGCTTAAGTTGATCCCTGATAGGACCGTTTATAGGTCTAGAGTTTGGCGTGAACTTGCGGCTGGGGCGCTGATGGACTGCGTTGTGCCATGCGGGGACAGATCTCTGCCGGTCTTTTCCTCCCACTCCTGCAACTTCAGGGTCGGGGGTTGAAAGCTTTTTGGGGCTGTAAGGGTTCTGAGCTTTGGGCTGTAAGGGTTTCAGGGGTAGCGCTGCACAGGTGTCGAGCTTAGGGCAACTTCAGTCGCTTGGTTTTAGAGCCGAACTCGTCCCGTAAGCTCACGTGTTGACTGTATTCTACAGCTACTACAGGGCTATAGGTTTTGGTGCCAGGGACCATCGTGCCTCTGCTACTATGAGGATTAGTATTACTCGTACGATTTCTGCTTGCGGTGCCACAGAGCGTTACTGCTGTGCTAGGGCTGTGCGCATTCCCTCATGGCTCGCAAACGCCATGATATCTTCTCCCGAGCTCTCCCCCAAGAAGAAAGGTGTGCATGTAATGTGACAATGTCTGTATCCATGTCGATGTACATGTGTGACATGCAAGCATGATCCGCCCCCTAACGAGGGGCTAACTCTGTGGATCGCGAGCAGGAGTCCTGCTCTGGGAAATTGAAGTACTTTCCCGAGCGATCGTAGGGAAACGCTGTCTCCACCTAGGAAGCAGATCGGAGCTCAGGGTTTAGACTTGAAGGATTAGGGTTTCGGGCTTGGGCATGGATTCAGAGGTGGCTGTGGCTGGACCAGCCGCTGCAACTTTAACTCAAGTGCTGACGGCTGCAGATGTTTAGCTGAAGGCTTGACGGGCTCGAGGCACCTGCTTTCATGTCCAGCCCACAGAGCTTTGGGTTCAGGATCTGCGGTTTGGGATTTAGGGCTTAGACGGTTTCACCGCTTCAATCTGGGAGGTTCCGAAAATAGGGGACCCTAATATAGTTCCCTAAATAGTAGGATCCTTATTATAAGGACCCCAAAATGAGGTACCCCTAATTTTCGGAAACTCCCATCTCAATGATGCCTAGCCACTACCTCGATGCCCTCCGCGATGGTGGACTCTGTGGGCATCGGCTGCTCACACAGCGGAGTGTACTCGCCTGGGATCACTTGGAGGATCATGGGACTTAGTAAGTATGGTTATAAGATGTTATAAGTACCTTAATTGGGGTTATAAGTAATTACAAATATAGTTACTTTAAATATAACTACGTCCCATGATCCTCTAAGCAGGGTTTAGCCCAAACTTTACGCCGCAAAGCCTAGGTTTTCAAAGAGAGAGCGAGGGGGCACAGGAGAGGCCGCGGCTGCTGCTCTTCCTACTGCTACTGCTACTGACTAGCTACGACGACGACCACAGCAACAGCAACAACAGCAGCAACAACTATAGCTAGAACTGGAACTGGAACTGGAACTAGAAAGAGAACAACAAAAACTACTACTACTACTACTACTACTACTACTACTACTACTACTACTACTACTACTACTACTACTACTACTACTACTACTACTACTACTACTACTACCACTACTGCTACTGCTACTGCTACTGCTACTGCTACTGCTACTGCTACTGCTACTGCTACTGCTACTGCTACTGCTACTGCTGCTACTACTACTACTACCACCACAGCGACGACGACTACCATTACATGTCGACATGACAACGCTGAGCTGTCGCAAGGATGACTAACAACTGCATCACTCATCATCATTGCTTATGGCTTCCGTGACTGGTTCTTGTGTCATTGCTACGGTGTTGCTTGCACCATTCATCGTGATGGCTGTTAGTCCTAGCCACTCAGATTTAAGTTGACACCAATGCTATATACGTTTATAGCATGCTGCTGCTCCTGGTGCTGGCTCAGCATCAGTATGTTGGACAAATTCACGATGGCTGAAATGAAGCTCCAACTCTCTGGCTCACTGCCGAGAAACCGTTGTTGACGCCTGCCAGCGATGAAACAAGCACAGTTGTGCACAGGCGGGGCATCCGATAAACGCGACCGTGAGAATAGTGGCAAGCGGTTGAAGAGGAAGACTGAAGAGGAAGAAGAGGGAAAGAAGAATGCCCACAAATCTCCAGGGATTAGAGACCAGCACGCCCCGCCAGCCTCGCCCCATATTGAAGACCTCGGCGAGAGAATGTAACAAGGAACCCCCCAAAAGAAGTATAGGTAATTCTTAAGGCCCCTATATTACAGTACCCTTATATAGTATCCCTTATAGTAAGCCTTATAGAGCCCTTTAAGGCAAGCCGAAGGAGCCGGCTACTCCACCAATATCGTTTCTCAGCAGCAAGCAGTGTCGCAGCAGCTGCACTAGCGGTACTTGCGGTAGTTGCAGCATTCGAGGAGAGCTTCTAAGTCAGACTGATCCCCGAAACCACTAGAGGTCCGTAGAAGCCCTTATAGTAAACCCTTGTACTAGCATTCGCAGCAATCCACGTAGCAACCCTTCTAGCAGCCTTCATAGAAACCCTTTTTCAGCAACTTCTATACCTTAAACCCTAAGCCCTAAACCCCAAGCCCTAAACCCTAGCCGAAGGCTTCGGTCCCAGGCGCCGGCGCCCAATCCCCGGCCGAGTGCAGGGAGCAACCCGTCGGCGCTCCGAGCCTCGATTCTCCAATACAAGAGGAGGGACCCTTAATGGGGACCCCTACCCTATAATGGACCATATATTGCCTGTATAATAGCTATATTAAGGCTCTATACCTAGGGGTCCTTATTAAGGGTTCCTCCTTTTTCCCTTTGAGATTCTGTCAGCGGTTGAAACCATGGGCCCGTAACCCTGGGATCCTTGTATACCTACTATATACCTTGGGTACGGCCCCCACTTAGTAATAGTGAATAATATTCATAGTATAGATATATAGCAGGACCTTAATAGTAGCCCTATTTTCGACTCTTACTGTAAGGGGGCAGTACCTTATATGTGCCCGATGTGGGTGGTTGTCAAAATTAGGGTCCCTTTTTGGGTCCCCAATATAATACGGCACCTGATATTTAGGGTACCCAAAAAGGGGCTGTGACAACTACCCTATGTAGACTCTCGACTCTTTTGGGTTGCTAGAATTCTCTCAAAAACGCCCAGGGGTCCATATTGGGGGGGCCCATATGGCTAAACTTGCATTCTGAGGCTGTCGAGGTTGGGCTTTAGGGCTTTAGGGATTTAGGGCTTTGGCTTTAGGGTGCAGGGTTTAGGGTTTTAGGGTTTAGGGTTTTAAGGTTTAGGGTTTAGGGTTTAGAATTATCGGTTTTTTAGCCGTGCTCATAGGCTTGATGATCATATTCTTATTACTATCAGTATGGTTACTGTTATTTGTCGCCATTGCTATCATTCGTGCAGTCATTATCATTAGTATCATTACTATCCTGAAACGGGTCCGAGGAGGAGGAGGAGGAAGAGGAGGAGGAGGAGGAGGAGCATCAGCAGCAGCAGCAGCAGGACGAGGAGGAATGAGGAGCAGCAGCAGCTCCCGTGCTGATCGATGTGCTGATAGTAATCATGGTGCTGGTGATGGTATAACTCCTGCATTACCTTAATGACCCTAGACTATGGGAACTATGGTATACTCATTGTTACGGGTAATGCAGGAATTGTGCCACCAACCGTATTGGTGATGGTGATTTGGAGCACGGCATCCTTCGACAGTCAGTGACGCACTAAACCCTAAACCCTAAAGCCTAAACCCTATATAACCCCTAAACCCTATATGAACCCTAAACCCTAAACCTAAACCCGAAACCCTAAACCCTAAAGCCTAAACCCTAAAGCCTACACCCTAAAGCCTAAACCCTAAACCCTAAACCCTAAACCCTAAACCCTAAACCCTAAACCCTAAAACCCTAAAACCCTAAACCCTAACGCACTGAACTCTCTGAAGCCTGAAGCCTCAGGCGGCCTAAAGCCTCCATGCCATATTCGGCCCGGCTGCCAGGGCTGCGCCGGGTCCTGCCAGGGCTTAGGGCTTTAGGATTTTAGGGTTTAAAGTTTACGGTTTAGGGTTTAAGGCTTTAGGAGATTAGGCCTTTAGAGTTGAGGGTTTAGGGTCTGAGGGTTTAGGGTTTATGGTTTGGGGTTTGGGGCGTTTTGACCTACATGTTGTGGGGCTGTGTAACCAACAACGTTGTAACAAACGTGCTACAAGGCTTCATACCAGCATAGCTAGTGCAAGAAGTCCAGGGTTAAATTTGAGCTTTCGCATGGGTTCTTACTGTTTGATAAGGGCGTATGTCCTCAATTCCAAAGAAGACCCCCGAAGCCGCAAGTATCCCGAAGAACCTGAATACCTTACCCGACATACCCTTGAATCAAGCCCTTGAATGCAATATTGAAGCTAGATACCCCGCAAAAAATACTCAAAACACATGAGGATACATAAGGGTAAAAGCACCCACCTTCTAAGCATGTCTAGTAAACCTTTAAAAACCTAAACCATGAGCCCGAAACACGGGATCCCTACACCCTGAACCCTGAATTCCGAAACCTAAACCCTGCCGAAACAGCTCAAAAAACCCTGGGCCTTAGAACCCTCAACCTTGACCTCTACTTGTTATAAGCCTAAGCCCTTAAACACCTACACCCTAAACCCCTAAACCCTAAAGCACCCAAACCCCTAAACCCTGAACCACAAATCTTAAACCCTAACCCCTAAACCCTAATCCTTAAACCCTAAACCCCAAACCTTTTTTTCTTCTTGTTTCCGAGATCCTTTGAGCCCACGTTGTACCCAGCTTGCAGCGCTGTGCGGCCTCGTTTGGCGCCTGGGATGGGGACCAAGGGCGTCTCGGGTTTGAGGATGATTGGGTTTAGGGTTTGGGGATTATGGTTTAGGGGTTTGGGGGCTTTAGGGTTTAGGGTTTGGGGATTAGGGTTTAGGGGTTTGGGTTTAGGGTTGAGGGTTTAGGGATTAGAAATTAGGGCTTAGGGTATTAAGCGTATTAGGGTTTAGGGTTTAGGGTATTAGGGTTTAGGGTTTAGGGGTATTAAAGTATTCGGTATTAGGGTTTAGGGTGCTATATAGGGTTTTAGGGTTCAGGGTTTCGGGTACGGAGTGGTTGTTTAGGGCTGATGGCTTTGGGTTAACAGCGTAGGGTTTGGGAGGTACCTGACTTGACCGGCTCGAAGCTTCCGGCAAGGGGCAGCTGGAGGAGCAGTGGCTTTCGGAACTACGGTTGATGATATAAATCCTGCATTATCTTAAGGACCCTAAACTATGGGAATTATGGTATATTCCTTATTATGGGTAATGCAGGATTTATATCATCAACCGTAGGGGCTTGTTCTCTAAATTAAAGTCTCCTTCTAAGAGTTCCGTAATATTTGGGGAACCGAAAAACGGGGACCCTAATTTGTCGGGCTACCCACATTTAGCTCCTCGGGATTTGTTGCTAAGGGTTTACGGGGCTGTGCGGAGACTCTGGGAGCTTGCCAACAGAACGCCTCTTTCAAGGTTTTCGGGCTTCTGAACCCTAAAAAACAGTAAAAACCCTAAACCCTGAACCCCAAAACCCCACCACCCAAAAACCCTAAAGCCCTAGGAACCCTAGAAACCTAAAGCCCTAACCATCCCTAACCCCCGAGACGCTCTTTCAAGGGGTTTCTTTTGCTTCGAGCCAATACCTCTTAATGGAGGAATATAGCTTAAATCATAATATGAAACCCTATATAATTTAAGCAAAATATTCCTTAATTCAGGGGTATTTTGGGCTTTCTGGGTGTCTTTTGCTTCGAAGCCGAGGCACCGGGAGGTAGAATCGCCTTGGCCGCTGCTTCCTGTTCCGCGGGCTTCAGGGCTCTGCGTGAGGACGTTTCTTTGGTTCAGGGTTTAGGGTTGAGGGTTTTGGGGTTTAGGGCTTTAGGGTAGGGTTGAGGGTTGAGGGTTTTAGGGTTTAGAGCTTAAGGGTAGGGCTTAGGGTTTAGGGTTGAGGGTTTTAGGGCTCAGGGCTGTAGGGGTAGGGTTTAGGGTTTAGGGCTGAGGGTGTGGAGTTTAGGGCTTTAGGGTAGGGTTTAGGGTTTCGGGTTTTAGGGTTTTAGGGTTTAGGGCTTTAGGGTAGGGTTTAGGGTTGAGGGGTTTTAGGGTTTACGGCTTTACGGTAGGGTTTAGGGTTGAGGGTTTTAGGGTTTAGGGCTTTGGGGTAGGGTTGAGGGTTTAGGCTTCTGTTAGGGCTTTAGATTTCGAGGGTTTAGGCTTAAGTTTAGGTTTAGCGCTTGGGGCCTATATTAGGGCTTCAGGGTTGCAAAACAGTAGGGTCTTCAAGTTAATTTTTAGGGCTGCAGGGCTGCGCGGCTTAGGTGTAGATTAGTTGGGTTTTGGTGCACTGAGTGCTCTCGGGGCTTAGCATAACCAATGCATGATAGTGTGAAGGCTTCATTTATGGTCTCGGGCGTCGGGTAATCGAAATACCACTTTTCGGATACTGCTGGCTGCGTTGTTCTACCAGTATGCCAAATGTACGAAAATGCTATATTATGAGATTGTCTAGTATGGTCTGGTAGAGTACAGTATAGTAGATAGCCCATATGGTTAGGCGTTGTGCCATCCCCCTCAGCCTTTTTGCAAAAACCTTTGTACTGTATCTCAATATCAAATATACCTATAGAAAAGCCATATATGTATATACAGATATATGTATGTATTATGTATGTGTGTGTATATATATATATATATATTTATATTTATATTTATATTTATCTATTTATTTATTTATTCATATTTATGTTGGAGCGTAGTCTAGTTATGGTAGAGTACGGTGTAGTAGATATAGTCGAACCTGGCAGCGGGAGAGCGGCACCGCCGAGACCCCGAGGCCATCTGGGCACTGCCCCGATCCGGTGAGCGCCTAGCAGTCCCGGGTTATAGTGAATCCCAGAAAGTTGGAACATGGGTATAGGATGATTGGTGCTGGGATTCCCTATAATTTGCTTTAAGGGCCTGAGGATAAGGATGTTCCATCTTTCTGGCTTCTACTGTATATGGGTTCCTTTTAAAGGTCGCGTTGAACGGATCTATAGGGATTCTGTAAGGGTATAGGGTTTAGGCGGTTTAGGGCCTACTTGGAGGTTCATGGGTAGTGATAACTAGGGTTACAAGTAAGGCAGTTATACTGATAACCCTTATTAGGGGACTTATAACCCCACTCTAACTACCCATGAACCTCCAAGTACGGTCTAGGGTTTAGAGTTTTGGGGCTTGCGGTTTAGAGTTTGGGGTCTCGGGCTTAGGGTTTAAATGGAGTTTGGGGTTTAGGGTGTAGGGTTTATTGTTTAGGGTTTAGGGCTCAGGTTTTGGAGTTTAGGGTTTGGAGTTTGGGGTTCAAGATCCATGGTTTAGGGGTCACAATGCCCTGAGTCCTGGTAGGGTGAAAGGCAGAACTCAGCTTGGTAGAGGAAGGAACAGCTCCAAGGGGAAAAGGAGGGGCCCTTAATAAGGACCCCTAGGTATATACCCTTAATATAGCCATTATATACCCGTTATATAGCCCATTATAGGGTAGGGGTCCCCACTAAGGGTCCCTCCTTTTCCCCTTTGAACAGCGGAAACGCAACGAACAAGAACAAGGTCAGACAATCGGGTGAAAACTGTGATGGCAGTGATGATGCCGCGCCAAGCTGCCGATCACCATCGATGATGGCGACGACGGTGATGGTGGCAGTGATACTAGTATCAACAGTAATGACTTAATAATGATTTCATAGTGATAGCACTAACACTGATGATGAAGATGAGGATGAGACTGAGGGGCTGAGAGTGACGGCGATAGTGACGACGACCATGGCCGCTACTGACCTACAGACCTGCGACAACGGTTGCCAACTGGAGCTTGGAGCTGGTCTTCAGCTTGCTTGCCCAAAGAAAACGAGCAACTCCGGACTGCACTTTAGGGTTTAGGGATTAGCTGTAGCAGAAAAGACCTACCTTTCCAAGCAACTAGATATAAAAACAATAATGAGCAACCTGAAAAAGGTAGGTCTTCTCGGCTACAGGTAAGGATTAGGGTTTAGATCTCGAACTGCTCTGCACCCTGAATGCCAAAGCAGCAGCCAAGATGCCAGGCCAAAGTGGAGAGGGGCTGCCGTGGAGGTTGTGGTCGTGACCTGATGCGGTGTACCACATCTCAGCGGTGGATACTTGGAGGATCATGGGACTTAGTAAGTATGGTTATAAGTACCGTAATTGGGGTTATAAGTAAGTATAAGTATAGTTACCTTAACTATAACCCAAGTTACTAAGTCCCATGATCCTCTAAGTAGTAGGAAGGCGATCTTCCACTTAGAGGTCGATGCTGAGGCTGCTCGCGGCGAACAACCAAAGCCAGACCCTACACCCTAAGATCTGGGCCTAGGCCCGAAAACCCCTATATATGTGTCAGCATCTGCGCACCCCCCCCCCCCCCCCCCCCCCCCCCCCATCGTATACCCCTCTGCTTTCTCCCCCCCCCCCCCCTGTGGTACCTGTGGTTCCTCTGCTTGTCTCCTTTCTCCCCCCCCCCCCTGTGGTACCTCTGGTTCCTCTGCTTGTCTCCTTTTCTGCCTGCTTCTCGCCCCCCCCCTGTGGTACCTGTGCTTCCTCTGCTTCTCTCCTTTTGTCCGTCGTGTCTGCTTCCTCTGCTTTCCTTGCTTCTCTCCTTTTGTCCGTGGTTTGTGCTTCCTCCGCTTCCTGCCCACCCCCCCCCCCTGTGGCGTGCCGGGGGGGGGGGGATACCATTGGGGGGGGGGGGGTGAAACCTAAAGGGGTAGCTCTAACAGGTACCTACAGCAATGGCTGCATGCTCATACATATACATTCCGCTGCCCATTGGCTCACAGTGGTTTTACATATTGAGACAAGACAAGCTCTCCTTGCGTAGCAAGACAAAACAACTACTGTCCGTGTGCAGGGCGCTGCCCTTTGATCCTTAGGGAATAACTGGTCATACACCTCCTAACAAGGAGTATTCCTTGTGGGTGTATCGGCACAGTTTTCTGGTAGCGGAGCCCGGAAAGGGCCGCCCGCCTCACAAAGTCCGCTACAGCGGTCGGCCTCGCCGAACGCTTAACCAAGCGGATAAGAGGCAGCACAATGTCGAGCTCGCATAGCGAAGCCGACGGCAGTTCCCAATCCTCCGGGGGATATGAGAACGAAGAGACCTCCCAAGGTCCAGCCACTTATGTCGCACAGTCATATGCAACATCTGACCGCATGCTTGCATCATTAGGCATAACGCCCAAGATCGCGCCTGCCTATGATGGCACCACCTCGTGGTTTGAGTATGAACAGTTGATTGACGACTGGTGCGACATAACAACGCTGGATGACACCAAAAGAGGTCCGTCTCTCAAGACGAGGCTCTCCGGATTGGCCGCAGTACAAAAGGAATCACTTAACCGAGAAAGGCTTGCAGCCCCAGATGGAGTAGATTACTTCAAGAAGAAGATGCGTCCATTTTTCGTGAAAGGAGAACAGTACGTTTTCCTGTGGCGTTTCCTCGGCCTATTTAAGGCATGGAAGGGCAACCAAGACTTTGTGACTTGGATTGCTAAGTTTGAGATCGTGCTACAGCGCGTGAAAAACTCATGGATGGATCTCTTACCAGAGATAGCTCTGGAAGATGCCCATCCAGATTTCATGCAGGCTGTGCAGGCAGATCAAACCTTCTTGCGCCTACAGGATGCAACCGAGAGAGACACATACGCCGCACGTTTCTTCGAAACATGGAACAAGGAACGCCTTGATAATCATCGAAGAGCGTTTCCTCTAAATGATAATCTCCTAGCTCTCCTCTTCCTAGTGCAGTCCGACCTAAATGAGATGCAACGTGAGAGGTTGGTAACAGCATTGACCAACCAAGGTCACCGAATTGAGACCTACACGTACCCTGTGGTACGGCAGACCATGTTCGATCAGTTCTCAACGACCAGAACTGGTCTGCAGGATCCCAACATTCGGCACTCTTCTCACAAGAAGGACCGCCATGGAAGGAGAGACCAACGCCGCAAACGCGGAGGTCGAAACTTCCTCATCCTCGATCAGGGTGAATACGATGGAGTCGATGGATTCTGGCTCCAAGACGAAGACACCCTTGAGGAAGGCTTTCTTGCCGCCGAGGATGAAGAAGCTGTCTTCTGGACAGTTGACGACCATGAAGCCTTCGTTGCAAGGAGATTCAAAAAGGGAAGAAGACCAAGAATGCGTCCCGGATCACCGGGAAGAGCAAAGGGTGGCAAGCGAAAAGGACGTGGCCGTTTTAGGTCATACCGCGGAAAAGGGAGAGCCAACCAGGCAGAACATGATCCAACTGATTCCAGCTATTTCGGTAAAGGTAAAGGAAAGGAAAAAGGAAAAGGTGGAAAAGGCAAAGGAAAAGGAAAGGACAAAGGAGATAAAGGAAGCTCCTTCAAGGGTGCAAAGGCAAAAGGCAAAGGTAAGGATACAGCTAAGTCTGCCTCCTTACAAGGAGACCAAACTGGATCTCCACAGGCCTATGAAAGTTCCACCGCACCGAGCTGGGATTCATGGTATGAGGACAGTTATTATACTGACTCCAGTTGGAATTATGCCGCTTATGACGATCAAACGTCTTATACATACTATGCATCACAAGCCTCACGAAGAAAGACACGGAGAAAGAAGAGAAGAAATCAAGCAGGATCATCAGGTAGAGGCACAGATCCGAGCGCGCACCAAGAACCCGTGTACAACTCATCAGTGAGTTACGTGCCCCAGGTCTCTGAACCATCCGAGGGGCAAGGTGTTGAAACTGCAACAGCGGTGTTTCCGTTGCAGCACACCGTCCTATCTGCTCTCACAGAGCGGATCAATCTTGATAAGAGCCCTACCTTTGTCATACTTGACTCTGGTTGTACTAGGGCTATGGGTTCCCGCTATGCGGTGAACAGGCTTATCAAGGCCGTGAAGCAACATGCCCCAGGCATGATTGATTTCACTTTTTCACCTTCGAACACGAAGTTCTCTTTCGCAGATAGTGAAACAGCTCTTATCAAGGAGCGTGTAACTCTATGGTTCAACACAACTCCAAGAAGAGATACAACCATAGAAGTTTTGGATCAGGGGAGAGTCCCCATTTTGTTTTCCATCGAACAGATGAGGAATTTAAGAATGACCCTCGAGTGTAGTCCCACAGCTGACCTAGCAACGTGTGAAGCTTTCGGTTTGTATAAAACCCCTCTTCCGATTAGTACCAATAACCATTTGGTATTGGACCTTCTAGGCTTCACTTCCACCAGGAAGTATCTCCCTAAGTCAGGTACGTCGTTCAGTGCGACGGAGACTGCTCTAGGAGCCAATAAGCCTTATACTAGGATACCGGAAGGTCGCTGTCCAGCCTGTGCCGGACAGAAAAGGGCTCACACGTACCTCAAGGGTTGCGACAAAGCACCTGAGGGAGCAGCTGATCCACCACCGAAGAGGATTTCAGGTAAAAAGAAGCCTCTTCCATCTGATCCGGCAGAATCATCTGCCAAGAAACTTGATCCACCAGAACCATCTGGTGATGCTCCTGAGCCTTCCGGACCATCGGAACCATCATCAGGCTCTAGGGACAAACCTGCAGAATCCTCTGCACAACATGAACCTCCAGAAGAAGAAAGACTTGAGGTCCCACCTGCGAAGATAAAGACTCCAAAGGGTCTTAAAAACCTTCTGAAGAAATCCCGCAAATATGCGGTTAAATCTCCTGTTGAAGAGAAGTCTAAGGTCCCAGGAGCTGATGACGGGACGGAGGTAAGACCACTTGAGTCAAGAGAATACCAGGCTCCTGGTACAGACTCACCTACAGGTGAAGAGATTGTCGCGGAACCATCGCCATCTCTTCCCATTGCTCTTCGCAGGATTCATGAGAAGCTTAAGGACCCTGTAGAACTCTATAAGCTTCACCTCAAACACCGTCATATGAGTACGGATCAGTTCAAGCGACGCACAAAAGCCTTACAGATCCCAAAGGAGATATACGAGCTATATGACCAACTGGTCAAAAAGTGCTCAACCTGCCAGGAACATGTGAGAGCTCCTTCAAGAGCGAAGATTTCTGGTTTAAGATCAGAGACTTTCGGTGATCTCACCTTCGTAGATCACGGTGAGCTTCCAATTCCCGGCAAGGATAGTCGCTTAGTATTTCTTATTCTCTATGATGGAGCAACAAACTTGTTGACTGCCGAAGTAGTCCAGGATAAAGAAGAACATACTACAATGTCGATTATGACTGACTACTTTGAGAAATTTCAGATCAACCCAAAGGTTGTAGTTGGAGATCAAGCATTCATGACTCCAAAAATGGAGGCTTATTACAATCGGCAGAATAGCAAGCCTGTGGCAACAGGACCTGGAACACCATGGCCCAACAGGGCCGAAGCTGCTGTAAGATTGCTGAAGCATCAGATTAAGCTCATACTTCAGATCCTGAAGGATGGTGACCCGCAGTATAACGGAATCACCATGAAGTATGGCAACCTCGTTCGCCAAGCATGTTTGGCAATAAACTCTTCGATTACCTACGGAGGAGTTACTCCTTTAGAAATGGCCTTTGGAAGGCGTCCTCGAGATGTTATAACACCAGAGAACGCTGATCCCAATCAGTTGACAGGTAATCCAACTGATACGGAAGTCACTGCGAGAGCCATTAAGGAGCTTGCCACCAGGGCTTACCAAGAGGCACGCCAATCTGATGATCTGCGTAGAGATCTTGCAGCCAGACTGTCAATGACCCAAGGACCTTTCTCTTTGGGAGATAAGGTTTTCTACTGGTCAGAAGATAAGTCTAAGATTGGATCCACTGGGTCCAAACATGGATCTTGGCTAAAAGGGAAGGTGATCTCCGAACTCGGAGGATCCATGGTAGGTGTGGATCTTGGAACACGCATCGTCCGTGTCAATATCTCAAAACTGAGGAAAAATTATGACATAACATCTGATGTGGAGATTCCTCTCGCGCCTGATGAGGAAACTCTGACGTCAGAAGGTTCTGACCACGCAAGTTGCATGGTCACCTTCGATGCTTCCCTGCAGTCGACAGACCTAACGGTTCCACATCAAGAGTGTCACTTGCAGGTCACCAGCACTGGGAAGATTGACTTCCTAGAACTCTACGGCGGATCTCCCC